CCAAAATCTAGAGTGAACGTTCTTAAGTCAAAATACACCACTTCAGAGTTCGCAAGCCACTTGCTCTTTTTTTTTTTTTTTAAATACATTCCTTTAATTAGTCTCTTATTTTGTTTTACTGGCAGTATCATAAGGATCTTGGCTGAACCAAGAGGTCTGCCCAGGGTTTGACTTCAAGCTTTAAAAATACTAAAAAGCCTTTCACACCTGGATGCCGTACTGCCTTCTGTCCGCCCAAGAAGATTTGACCTAATGGTTTTAGGACAGGAATTTATTCAATTCCACAATGACTTCCCAAGCCTAAATTGAACATCTCCCTTAACTAGATTGTACTTGTTAATGGCTCCACCTTGTGGATGCATCTTTGCAGAGGTCACTTTCATAATTCACCCTCAGCCCTCCAGACATACCAGCAATGGCCCAGCAGTGGGGTCCTGGGGTGAGTAGCTCCCAGGGTAATCATCATCTTCTTCCTCTTGGATCTGCTGAAATGTCCGCTTCAAAGACTTCTTCTCCTCTGTAACTAAAGGCCCGCATAAGTGTCAATGTAAGACCTTCAAGTTGGCCGTCACATCTGCATACTTAAACAAAACCTCTTTCTACATTTTCAACAAATGACACCGTCACAGCTTCTAAAATCCACCTACAATTTCATTTTCTTTAGAACACCTGTTGCTTTGTGGATCCATCACTTTGAGGATGGTCAAAAGCATTTGAGTAAAAGAGAGATTACTTTAGTCTGCATGGATGTCATGGTGGGTACATGTGCCATGCACACAGAAATGCAATGTTGCTGCCAGCAGCACTCATGGCCATGCGTGCCTTCCTTCACCAGTACACATCATTCAGGAAGGGACTCTGCATCAGCAGGGAAAGGTGACAGCCATAGGAATGCGTGTACCAAAAAGTACCCCTCAGTTTGCCTTTTCTTCTCTATATGTTCATCCACACAGGGGATGCCAGTGATGACTTGCTCAGCAATGCTACTTCCAACTTCCTTATTAAACATGTCAAATTGAGCATCTGATTTAACTGTCCCAAAAAAGGTCACGACTCAAATGCATGAGCTACACTCCAAGCAGAAGCCCTGCAAGTCTCAGACTCCCCTAAAGTAAGCAACTGATTCTGTCTAAGCATTAGCAGAGCATGCCTTGCCTAAAGAGGGAAGAGGTAATTTATTTAACGAGCAGGAAATCTTAATGCAGTCAGTAACCCATTTAAAAAAATGTCTTTGAGAGGAAAAAGCCTGCCCTTTAGACTTATCACCAAAAGCCACAAAGAGCCTCAATGGTTTACAAAATGGCTTTGTTCTGGGAAGATAAAAGAACGGAGCCTTAAGAACATGTAGTGTGTGTGGAGTCTAGCCTCCCCAGGAGAGTCATGAAGTTTTGCTAAACTACTGTTAAGCATATATATTGATTCACGTGAAAACCCCAAACCATTTTTTTTTTAAAAACCAAAAGATGCAGCCTGAGAAAAAATTCTTCAGTGGCAGGCTTTCCACAGCCTTTTCTTCATAAAAAAGCCTGAATTCCAGCCACCTTGCAAGCCAAGGTCCTGGCTACGAAAAAACGCTGTTTGAACAGAGACAAAGTTATCTACATGCTGCTGGATGGGAGGAAAAAACTGCAAAAAAACAAACCTGCAGGAGACAGGCAATAAGCAGGTAGAGCAGCCAGAGGAGCTCTAACAGAGCTTATCAAGAGTCCAGAGTGTTTTGAAGACACTAAGCAGCCCAAGACAAATGGAAAGCTAAGTTCAAGGGTTAGGTCTTGGTTCTATAAAATGATATCCGAGGGGTTTAGAAGCAGTAGAGGTGTCTGGACGAAGGCATCAGGATGGATTGCAGAAATAACGCAGCCATGAAGAAGCTGTCATTCCTTGAGCTGTCCTGACTTATCTTTTCAGGAATTAGTGGAATGGGAGACAAGGGATAAGACTGGTTCTTCTCCAAGGTCAGAAATGCTTCTGCCACAGATGCTGGACTTACTCCACCCCCAGAGCAGGACTATTTGCACCAGGTCTATGAAGGGAACTCCCCATTTTAGCAACCCTAAAACCATAACTAAAGAATGAAAGTATATCTGGGGATCTGGTTTCTCGGAATTCTAGGATTGTAAGTATACTATAAGAAATAATAGTAATGATTCAAATTTAACCTTTAGTTGTAATTGTAGCTGTTTTTGTAATACTAATTCTTATAGCATTGTTTGGGAAGAAAGTGCATTTGGAGCATTGTTTTTAATATATGTAGTTATTGTGTTTTTAATGTTTGCGGTTTTTCTTAAAGCTAAGCAGTGTTACATGTGTAGTAAGGAGTTTTAATAAACATATTAAAGGAATAAAAATCATGATCATTGTGAGAACGAACAGGGCTCAACCTCACCCCACCAGCATACTGATTTGAACCAATATACCATGTGGGACTTCTCTCTATCCTGTAAACCCATAAGAGACAGTCTATGAAGGGAACTCCCCATTTCAGAAACTCTTAACCTAGAACAGAATCCTATCTCCTACTAATAAGTGATGGACCTTTCCTCTTAGCTGATCTGCTACACACCATATTAGACCTAGATGTGCACTGCCTTCAAATGCAAGGGGCAGGGGACTCTCCTTTGTCTCTTTATACACTACATAAATCCTGATAGACACTACCACAGCTGAGATATAGGGGCCCAAAGAGGCAGGAGTCTTTTGCAGGCCAGCTGAGTTCTAATACGTGTGTGCAAAAGGCTCTGCAGAATATGAAGAGATCCCAAACATGCTGGCAGCCCAACATGGATGCATCAGTCAGAGTCTTTGAAAGTGGCAATGGATGAAACAGTACTCCTAGCAGGTGTATTGAGGATCTGTCCACAAAAGCAGAGATGACCAGTACCCCATCTCTAGCCTGTTCAGCCATTCTTAACTGCACCTGAAGAGATCAGAGGTATAAGTATGTACATAGTCACTCAAATATGAGCTACCATGGAAACCAGAAGATTGCAGCAGATACTTCACCGAGTCTTAGACATGGTCAAATGAATGAAATAACGTGAATCACTGAGGAAAATCCTATTTTTTGCCAACCTTGAGTCCAGCATGGCTCCTACAAATCCTGTGGGTTGTGCAAATGCAAACACAAGTCTGGGAAATGGTTGTTGTACTACATGAACCTCCCTGGCAGCTTTCTGCAATGCGTGACTTCAGCTCGGTCATTGTAGAGATGGGAATGTAGACTGAGGTCTTCTCCCCTTTGGAGAGCGGCTCTGACAGTTGGGCTTTCAGTAAGTAACCTCAGAGCTGTGAAAGGCCAAGCAGTAGGACTCTAAATGAACAGCGAAGCCCATGGACCAGGAAAAGCAAATATGGACAAATGTGGAAGGAAAGGCCATATGTGTAGAATACTAACCAGCAGCAGCAGGATTGCTCAGGAAAAGTTTGCCATCCAAAACCCAGAGCAAGGGAGACATTTCTTGACAAATCTGAAAACTAGACTTTGCTGTTTGCTCTTCTTTGGGATGAGGGAGTGCAGGAATGAAGGCCTTACTAAAGAAATTGGAAGACTCTTCCTCCACTACCCCAGAGGACAGGTGACAACTGGTACCCTTCCTCTGGGCCAGCAGCAAGGACTGAGATAGGTGCCATGTCCCATCTGGAGATTGCTACTCTCAACGTATGCCCCTACTTAGGCCTGAACCATCAATTGGCTGAAGAGCACCGACTAGAAGGTTCAAAGTGCTTCAAGGTAGCAAGTCTTCCTCAGGCCAGAGGGTCTCTTCACCCCAGAACAGCACCAGTAGAAACAGCCTACTTTTGAGATCTACTCCCAGACGCTTAGTTTCTGTCAAAAGTGTCTGCAGGGGACATCACAGTTCTTTTGTGCCCTTCAAGATAGGTTACAAATAGCATACGTATTTGGGTCAGGAGGCTCATTCTGCTCAGCAAGCAGCAATAGAGGAATTTGTATGAGGACCAGTCAGAGGGATAGCTGTTGCACAGGCAGGATTTGAAGCTTGGAAACCTGTTCTCTGCCATCAGACCTTAGCCTTGGTTTTGAAGAAACATTCAGAGAAAGTAAGAAGGGAAAATATTGTTTGTTTGTTTTTTTTAAAGCCATTAGGTTTAAATGAAAATGTAAGACCACAGCCAATCAAACTATAATCCACAAGCAAGAAAACACCAGGGATTTATCAATGGAAGAGAAGGAACAGAGCTGCAGTTACAGGTGCTCTGTCCTTCACATGTGCTGTCAACGACAGAGGAACACAGTGCACATGCACAGCCCCAGTGAGAAATGCTTGCTAAGAGCAGCCAGACTTGTATGTTCAGAATACATGCAGACTGATAGAGACTGGGAGTTTTAACCATGGCTCAGTTAGAGAAGAATCACTTTTATATTGTGCTGAGAATAAATACAAACTCCTTAAATGCAGAGTGCCAAATTTCAAACCACTATAGTAAAAATCTATTGGCCGTGGCCATGCACCATCCACTTCAACGATGTGTTTTAAGCCCCTTCATCAGTGGGAAAAGTCTGTGGGAGTTGATACATCATTCAAGTTGACCGATGTATTAGATGCCTTATGGTATAATACAAGAGTTATACAAATTAAACACAGATGTCCAAATACATTTGTTTGTAGATAAAGAAAAATATATTGTTCAAGTTCCCCCAAGAAAACTTAAAAGGTCTCCAAAATGAAAAGTTGCCCTTAACTCACAGGAGATGAAACCTACGAAATAGATCTGTTTGGGAGAGAAAGGACTTCAGAAACCTCCTCTCCTCATGCATTACTCTCCTTAACTCATACATTATACTTTGTACAATGATATGTATCCAACATGATTTAAGTTTATTAGAAATTAATTCCTATTCTTTCACAAGAAAGTTTGAAGGGAAGAAGAGGGAGTCACATCAGTTCAGCATCAGTGCACAATGGAAACTAATATTTCAACGAGTCAGAGCGCTGAACACAGAAATTTTTCCTTTTCCTCGTGTGTCACCACATCGGGTAAAGTCTCACAACTTGGTAAGCATTCTGGAATTTATTCAGAACCATCCTGTTCGGCCAACAGCCTCTATCCAACCAGGCTCCAACCATGACTGGCTTTTCACAGCGTTGCATTAAATAGTCACAGAATTCTTTTCATTGATTTGCTGTACTGGCTAAGAACGAAAAATATTATCATCGCAGCATCAAATGGTCCCAGGAGTTCCAGAAACTTTCCTTTAATGGAGCCACCTTCTACCACACTGAATACACTTATACTATAAATTTCCAACCTATTACATCCATGGTAGTTTATAAACCCAGAAATTGTTAACGTCACAGGTTTTTAGGAATGCTAATATTACACGTACAGTTTCTATAGCCACAATCAATCTTGTCCTTGAAAAGCCTCAAAAATAAACCAAGCAAGAGGTTTGCTATATTCCTTTATGATCCATTCAATCTTTGACCTGGCTGCCAATTTTCATGAAGGCATTTGTGATGTAGATAAGTGCCCAGTAAGAGTTGGAGACAAGCCAATTTATAAAAATCGCACGGCTGCAGAAATTCTGCCACATTGAAGCTGGTGTCAGTTGCTACTAACCTGAGCAGAAAATGAACCGGCAAAACCAAAAACAGAAAATCTCCATGTTCTAGAACAATCTCCTGAGCTTCAAATAAAAACTGCACAACTTGACAAAGAAAAAAAAAAAGTAACAATTTTTACACTTCTGAGAAACTTTGAACCATGCTTTTCTAATTAAAACACTGGAGTGTTTTTCAATTACTTGGATGAAAACTCGGCTTCCAGAATTTTGGATATGTACAATGAAGCTCTTAAAATATTATTCCATTAATATTTACAAAGTCCCGTTACAGTTAAAAAGATCAAGTAAATATGAATACTATTTTAAGTTCAGCACACATCAATACTACATTTAGTGTGGCAAAATATCAGACATGCTGGCTTTTAGATGTCAAGGCTTTTAGAACAAATGCAATGCCATTTTAGTTGGATTTAAAACAACAGTGATGTCCATCCAGGGTTGCAAGTGGGGTAACAAATGGTTAGCCATAAAACGTATACCACAGCAGCACTGGCTCATTTGAACAGGAGCCTAGCCAGGCAACCCCTTTGTAACCCTTCACCATTTTAAGAAACCTACCCTAACAGGTATCTTTTGCAATGTGTCCAGGACACCACCCTTCAGGCTATTTTGGATCAAGTGCCAGTCTCAGAGGACTCTGGCTAAGGCCTCTTCCCTAATGAGAGGGATTCAGCTTGGCTGTCCTTGCTGACCTTAATTGGTAAGGCTCTGCTGCTGGGAAAGTGGTTTTGCCTCAGGAAAGTCATTTATAGAACTGTAGCACATTAAAAAAGCCTATTGCCAGGGGCACACAGAGCTGGCAAAGAAACAGAAACAGGATTTAATGGAAATCTGACCATACACTCTTAATACTACTTTCTGAATCTTACACAGAGTTTATGTTAAAAAGGACAATCGCATATGCTGTTGAAGCTAGGTCATCATCACCTTCTTACTGATTCTGTCTAAAGAGGGCACGTTAGAAGAGAGGGATTACATCAGGCACAGATGTGTGTACAAGAGACTGTTTCTTAAGCAAAACTGACTAGGAGACAATTTGACAAGAGACCCAAGACATACTAGACTGGTTTTCACTGAATTAGGAAGAAGTGCATTGCACCCAGGATTGAGCTGAACTTCCTATAGCAAATATGGTCCCCGACAAGGTAACTGGATAAAACTTGATCAAAGAAGATGCTGTTTGTTCTCTCTTCTAAGGAGCTACTATGGCTCAAGAGAGACTCTCGAATGCAACCTCTGCTGCACAGTGGACTGAAAGCTCTTTTTTCACTGGAAACCATTTGTGTCCAACCTCCTTCCTTCAAAACTGACTAAACAGCAACTATCCAGTTCTTGTGATATGAAAGAGAAGTTGAGACTCCAGGGTCCACTACAGCAGTGGGACTGAAAAGAACGACAGACTCAATGCCCTGCATCACTTTCCAACATGGTTTATTACCATACCATTTCTATCCGCCAAAAGCCATTGTTAAATCCTGGTGAATTATAATGATGATGCACAATGAAATGAATCCAAATGCTTAAGCTCAAACCATGGTAGATAAACCACCTCATCAGGTACACATCTGCTAACTATCAGAGCACTTTAGAGCTCTACATGTTATCACATTATCTGCAAGGCTGGATCATAACTGCAACTGCCCCTCTCTTCAGGGAGTACAAAGACCCTGAATTCATCCTGCAGCTGGTAATACCGTAGCAAAAAATGGTTCCTTAACTCCTACACAGACAGATCCAGAGTGTGTCCATTTGCACTGAAGAGCCAGAAATGACTGGATGTAAGCCCCTAACAGAGTCAAGAGTTTCTAACCTAAACTAAATTTGTCATCGCTATGGACTGAGAAGCTTAAAGCCATCTTAGTGACTCCAACACCAGGCCCAACTATTACACTAATTCTCAAAGCTCACAATGTCTTAGCTGGCTTGCGTATCAAGAGTCACAATAGGAAATGGCAAGTAGTTAACCTTTCAAATTAGACTTCTCTGTCATTTAAAAAAAAAAAAAAAAAAAAAAAATTATGCTTTTACCTTTGGTTTGAGGGCTATTTGAGTCCTCCATAGAAAGTTTCAGCTGCTGTATGAACTCACCGCCATACACACTCCTTTCTTGCCAGATGTTAAGCAATCGTTCTAAGGGCTTTTTGCAGCCCTCATCTGCCTCTCTGTACAAAAATTAAAGAATAGTTAAAACCTGGATAAAAAGCACAAGCACATTTTAGAAAGCCATCTTGCAAATTAGAAGTTGCACTCATCACAGGATATGTGAGCTTAGGGACAGATTTTCTTGTCCTGTTTGGTGTAATCCATACAACATAAAGAGATTCCCTTAAGGTGGGATCAAATTATATAAGAGTACTCTACTCTATTTTCCCAGATTAAACACAGGCTTCTGAAGGGAAAAAACCCCAGTATCTTTTTGGTGTTGTAAAAGCAACTATGAAAACCCACAGATTTTTTAGCAACTTATAATGCTCACTTTTCGCAATTCAATCAATGACATCTTAGTTAAAAAGGAAATTATTATGGTCATTAGGCATTCAAATGAGAATTTACTTATTAAATGTCACCTAAACGATCAAGACTTCCTAGTAATATAAAAGAGATAGTACTAAAAGTTACTTCATTATCCAAAACACACTGTCACTACATTCACTTTAATTCCCTTGTGCACCATAAACTACTTGGTTCAGACTAAGCTCTTCTCCAAATAGTATCATAACAGGTCTTAAGTAGCTGGTGCTCCATCCTGTGACAGCTAATGTTTTTCTTTCACCTCTTCCTACTCCTACACCTCCCCACATACAAAGCTGCCCTTTCCCCCAGTGATCCATCACATGACAATTGTTATAAAGCTAGCAAAGCCTAAAGATAATTTGACTCCAAAATCTTCTTTCACCTACAAACACATTTAAAAAAAATAAAGTTCAAACAAAAGCAAGCACAACACATGCAAGAACTGCTGCTAACCCACTGACCAGGTAATATTAAAAAAAAAAGAAAGTTTACACACAATTTTCTGTTGGGAATAACCAAGACGGTAACATTTCATTCCTATATATAAACTCCCGAAATTAGCCAGTCCTTGAATTTGCTTAGATTTATTAGCTTAAATATGAAGAGTTTTAAAACCATATTTTGTCTAAAAACCAAATACTACCACTCGATTAACAGCACAGAAGCAGCAAGCTGTAACGGGAGTTAAATGTGTTCATATTAATACAGTGATGAACATGAACGATTTTGAGACTCCTGCTGGAAAAATCTGAGTCTGGCAAATTGACCAGAGATATAATAGTAAGGAAAACAGAGGTCTGTTTCCAACTCTTCCACTGAGGGGTAGAATCACATAATTAGTGACTCACTCTCCTAGAGGCTTATCTGCTTTAGACAAGTCACTTAACCACTCGATTTTACCACCTTTAAAAATGGGATAATTTCCCTCTCTAAACAGAGCTGTGAGATTTCTGGATGATAACTGCAAAATATTTAAAGTACAAAGGAACTGATTGCAAAGAAAAGTTGTCACTACACAATTACATTATAGAATGGAACCAGCCTCCCACAATGTCTCTCATGACTCCTAAGAGCAAGCATAATTAATAGTTTCTACACAGGCAGAGTCAGAGTTGAGTGCCTAGTAAAGACAGGCTAACTGTTCCAGGTACAACCCCCTACAACTGAAAACCACTTTAATTCAAAACTTGTGGAAAAGATGGGCTGGGAGGGAGGGGAATTGTGGAAAAGGAAGAGGAATGAATTAACGATCAACCAACATACCTGGCAACATGAGAAAAAGCGTCCACAAGAACCGATTCAAATTCCCTAGTGAATTCAGGACCCTTCCTCTTACTGTTCTGGATGACATCATTTGCTAAATATAGGAACGTAAGCTTCCTACTTGATTTTGCTGGGAAAGGACAGAAGATAAAATTTACTTGTATTTATTTTTCATTTCATGTTTTATTATTTTACCCGAAGGCAACTGTACATTTCCCAAAATTGTTCACACTTCTAGACTAAGTGGCAAGACATTTTCCCCATTTCAATCTTGCCAGAGTTGTAAAAGTAGCTTATCCTTTGAGTCATGTAGTTGTTCAGCTAGAGTTGTTCTGTAACGTATTAAAAAACCAAACAAACGGTCCTGATAATATTGCTATATACTAAGGCATCTTTCACCTCCAGATCTCAGACTACTGCACGCACATTAAGTCTTGAAAACACACATATAGATTAAAATGGAAATGAGATAATGCAACTTAATGCAAAACAACATAACAATAGACACTATGTGTTAACTAAGTTTGTTGAAATAGTGGTTTTTAGTTTTCCACGAATCTGTGTAAATTAACATCTATCCTGGGATGGAACAGCTTGAAACTGGGATCTTGTATTTAAAAGAACTGCCCCCCACCCCAAATACTCAATAGATGCAATCAATTAGCAATGAGTTTTTTTAATGGTCTACGTTCAATGTTTCCATCCTGTACCATAAGTCAATGCCAGTAGACCTCACACTGCCCTGGGCAGAACCTCCAGGAGAATCTTTTTTAGAACAGGTTTAAAACTATATTATTGCAATGCAATGGCTAAATCTTCACACACAGAACAGTCAGGAAATTCAGCTACAGTTCCCCAGGCAAGTCTAACTGGGTTTGTTCAGAAACACAACCTTGCTATTTACCATAACAACAGATGCTTTAGGTAACACTGGGTTAGAAAACTCCAACATTTGATTTCCTGGCAGCTGAATTCAGGATGCAAAACTATTATATTTCTGCAGATTTTAAGCATCCTCTTTTAAAAGTGTTAGTAGCGATCCCAAATAGGAACACATACAGCACTGCGCATGGGCTGGCTGGGCAACAAGCATCAGAGGGAAAGCAACAAGTACTTGCTCAGTTTCAGGGGCCACGAGCAACAGCGGTGAAGCGCCCGTTCTTGTCAGTGCACTCCCAGGTCAGGACACTGGAGCACACTGGTGTCTCCAGCATGAAGAGTATGAAAGATGCAAGTATGATCATATATATATATATTTTTTTCCCTATAGCCCGTGCTGCTGTTTTTACTCTGCCCATGTCCCTGGGCCTCGCAGGCCAGGAATGACCTGGAATAGCAGCGCAACTCCAAACCCCACAGGCATGTCCCTCACAGGCTCCTGCTAACACACGCTCCAGGGGGTCTATTTTACCACAATTACACTGAGCAGGTCCTATTCTTCCCCAATCTTCATTTAACCAGCAACAAGTTTGGGTCACCTGGTGCTCGGTTACATTTTTAACTGGAAGCCCTGTTGCAGGTAGCCACGAGCTGTTTAAGCCAGGGGACACCAAGGAAGCCGGACGCAAGTTTCCTAAACCCTAAATGAAGCATTTCTCTGCAGAGCGGCCAGGGGAAGGAAGGCCGCGAGGCTCCTCAGGTGTCACTGGGGGGGTGGGGATATTGCTCTTAGGACAACTAGGCTAAAAAAAAGTTTAGGCAACCCTCACTCATTGCTCCTTCTGCCACCACTGAGGCCAGCCCCGCTCCACCCACCCCCCGCCGCGGGGCCTACCCTTGCGGAGCTCCCGGTGCCACACGGAGACGATGGGCCCCGCGTGCTTGCGGTGGTGGATGAGCCATAGCGACAGCGTTTGCACGCTCTGCTGTGAGTTGCTGAGCTCCGACAGCTTCTTCTCCAGCGCCGACTCGGAGAACGAAGACATGGCGCCGGCGGGGCCGCCCGCGGGGACGGGCCCTCAGCAACAACAACCCGTCGCCGCCGCCACAAGATGGCCGCCCGACCTGTCACCCCGCCGCGGCGGGTCAAAGGGCACCATGCTACGGGGCGCCAAAAGGGACAAGACCCCCAGCTACGTCCGCATCTGGGCCCGGCCGTTGCCGCCCGAGCGGGGCGCATGCGCATCCAGGCCTTTTTCTAACCTTCCCCGCGCGCCAAGCGAACGGCGCATGCGGACTAACCTTTGTCCCGGACAGTTGAACATGCGTAGTGCGCGCTCACCTGAGATATTTCTGGCGCTTCCCTCCTACTAGTGCCACGTAGGGAACTTTTTTCACGCCGGGCTGGGTGGCACTTCCGGCATGTGGCTGACCCTCATAGTGGTGCAGGTAGGAGCTGGGGGCTCAGGGGAAACCTGTGTCTCCTTGATATGGGGGGTCCTGCCCCTGCTATGTGGGGGGTGTTCTGCTCTTTGCTAGGGGACAGAGGTTACCCCTGCTCCATAATGGGGGTAGGGCTCCCCTAGCAACATGTGGGGGGCATGACCCGAGCTCCTGGGTTCCATGGGGGGAGGGGTCAGGGCCCCTAGAACCAGCTCCCCCCCCCCCCGCCCCCCGGGGGCGGGGGGGGGA